CTATCCTGCTCCTCCAAACTCTTTCAAGTGTCTGTCCATTACCCAATTCCAAAGCCACTTCCACATTTTCATCTATTTGTTATTAGCAACAGCCCCACTTCTCAGTATCAATTTTCTGTCTCAGTCCATTTTGTGCTACTGTAACAGAATACCACAGACTGGGTGATTTATAAAATAAAATTTAAAAGGTTTATTTAGGTAATGGTTCTAGAAGCTGGAAAGTTCAGATTGAGAGGCTGCATCTGGCAGCTTCTGGTGAGGGCCTTATGCTACATGAAAACATGGCAGAGAAATAGAAGAGGTACCAGGCATGTTTATAAAGGGCAAAACATGGGAGGCAACCTCACTTTACAACAATCTGCTCTCACAGAAACAATTCCACAAGAACTAACCCAGTCTTGCAAGAAAGACACTAATCCATCTTAACAACATAATCACCTCTTAAAGGCACCATCTCCCAACACCACCACATTGGGAAACAGCCTCAACAAGGGTTTTGGCGGAGACAACCCATATTCAAATCACGGAAGTTTGTACATGAGATGTGAAAAGCGTGGCTTTCAAAACCAAGATAAATACGAAGTCCTACTACTAAAAAAAAGAGGCTGTTCACTTCCAACCTGTTCTTTACTCTTTCAAAGGCTACACAAGATGTTTACTATTTAGGGTAGAATTGTTTAAAAATTATAACTGTGCCTTGTTAGTTGTTATGAGAAGGCCAACAATAATAAAAAAAGGTAAGATAATCCTTGCCCTTTCCAGACCATCTAATACAACTAGGAAGAAAGTAACAATAAAGTACAAACACCAAATTTAGAGTACAGACTGAAAGCACTGACTCAAAGGAAGAAGAAATCACATCTAATTGTAGTTTAAGTTAAGCAACCTGAATTCAAAACTCTGAAATCTGAAACGCTCCAATGAGCATTTCCTTTGAGTATCATGTTGGTACTCCAAATACTTCAGATTTTAGATTTTTGGATTTAGGATACTAAACTGAAAAGTAGTGTAAATATTCCAAAATCCAAAACACTCCTGGTCCTAAGCATTTCAAACGAGATGCTCAATCCTTACTATTTATTTCTATTAAAAAAGAAGGTAGAACCTCAGTCTTCAAGGATGCATGTAGTTAGGCATATCTGACGGAAGAAAAGACACAATTTTCTTTGAGGGAGCTGATAAAACACAGGGTAAAACAACTTTCTCAGGGGTTCCTCATCTGAACCATTGATCACTGCAAATGATGTGATTATATTCTCAATTCTCCCAAGGATGATATATAATTAGTACCATTCAAGAAGCACAGGACAGAAATTGGAGGTAATTCATTACATTCAATGGATGGCTTAGAGTCACAGGTCTCAAATTAACACGACTCAGGAACTTGGAGGGCTTGGCTTGTTCAAACAGACTGCTAGGCCCCAGCCCAGAGACTGATTCTTTAGGCGAGCCCAAGAATGTTTTAGGGCACTAAGACTTAATTCTGGTTAAGAAAGCATGATATAAAGTATATCTTTATTTGAAAATCATGTATGTCTTTAAAGTAATTACTGAAAACAGAGACCAGTAGGAAGAAGCAGTAGCATCTTACTGTGTCTATTCAAGACAACATAATCTTGATCTATTTCACTGCAGTTTTTTCTTCTGAAATAAATATTCTTGGTTGTTACATATGAAGAATATATACCAACACTGTACCAACCTAGACAAGCCCCAGTACTAAAGAACATGGCCTGTGCATGCAGATGTGGTGTGCTAGAACAGTGATTCTCAGGCTTCTGTAAAACAGTGGAAGTTCTGCCCAATTATAGCACCAAAGGGCAGTTCACCAATCCTTTCATATCAGGAGTCTTGAGGTGGAACTTTAAGTGGTCTCTTGCTCAACTAGAAAAAATATTTATTGAAATATTCTCAATAATATGTCAGCAATATGTTTACCATTACTGATAAGATTTTTTACATTTATACTAAACAACTTAGTTGGATAGAAAATTCTTGGGTCCTAACTACTTGAGTTCACAACCTCTCAACTCATTGACTTCTGTCACATTGAGTAACAGAAATCTGAAGAAATCCGTATATAATCTATATTCACTAATTACCCCATTTACCTTGATTCCTTGGCCTGACTCGACTCATAGTTAGCTTTTTCTTCTTAAGGCTTGTAATTTTAAAGACTTAACCTGAACTTTTACCTAGTTGTGGGTCCCTTTTCACCGATCTTATCTGAAATTTTCTGTTTCCCTTAATTATACATATCTGAAGTTGGGAGTTTTTGTTTTTACTTAAAGTCTTCTTTCATTATATCTATCATTTCTGTTCCAAGTGTCTGAGAAAGTAAATCCATTTTTATGGAGTTTATTTAACTGTTTCCCTTTTCAATTTGTAGCCCTTTCATCTGAGTTTGTTCTCTCCTGACGGGATTTCTTTCCTTCGTTGGGTTCCCAGTAACTTTCTTTCAGTCATTACCTCAAAACATTCATTTTCATCACTTTATAGTTTTTTTAATGCTTTGTGAGTTTCCCAAGTTTGTTCTCCAGATACTTCGCTATCCATATCATTAAATTCATCTCTTTCTAATCTATTGCCTTTAGAAATGCAATGTCAGTTTTGCTACCTTATATTAGTTCCCAGTCATCCTCCCTGTTATCTGCTTCCTTTTCAACTTGCAGCCCTTTCATCTGCGTTTGCTCTCTCCTTATGGGATTTCTTTCCTGATTTAATGAAGCCACATTTATTTTTACATGCTGTTCAGTATGCCCACTGTTTCTGTCTTCATTTTTTCCTGGTTCCTTTCCCATTGACAGGGCACCTCTTCTTTCAATGCTTCAGATTCTTTCCCTTCTTCTTATTCTGCAGTATTTTTTTCAGAGAGCTTTCATTTTCCCCATGTTAAAGCACAACCAACCCAGGCTCAGTTTCTGCCAAGCAGAGAGGTACAGATCATCCTTGCTAGTAGAATCCCTTCCCAAAATGATGTGCAAGATCTAAGCAATTCCCAGTGCTTAGATTGAGTGATTCTACTTGAACAAAGGGGGGACTTCCTGTATTCCAAATAACTAAACTCCCTAAAACATTGAACAGGTGGAATTTTTGAAATTCTATCCTTTGGCCTCTTACTACCTACCTACCTGGGGCCCTACCTACCTATGTCCTACCTATTGTCGTGGCTCAGGACATGCTACCCCAAACTACAGCCACCTGAAGGCCATTGTGACTTTCCCTCTCCTTTCTGTGGGACAGCTAGTGGTAAAGAAATTCTCTAAGCTACGTCTTCTGAGAGTATGTCTTTTTTTGAGGCAGAGTTTCACTCTGTTGGCCAAGCTCAAGTGCAGTGACATGACTCACCTCGCTACAACCTCCCCATCCCAGGTTCAAGCAATTCTTGTGCCTCAGCCTCCCGAGTAGCTGGATTACTGGTGGGCACCACCACACCCAGATGATTTTTTTATTTTTAGTAGAAATGGGGTTTCACCATGTTGCCCAGGCTGGTCTCAAACTCCTGGCCTCAAGCGATTCACCCACCTCGGCCTTCCAAAGTGCTAGGATTACAGGCAAGAACCATCACACACGGCCTTGTAAGTCATTAAACCCTCATGTGACAAGGGTCCCAACCTATACCTGGAGGAAAGGAATGTTATACGGAGAGGCCAAGAAGAATCTCAACAAACAAGCCTAAGTTCCCCCATTTATTACTATTGGATAACACCCTTTTTGTCCAATCATACTTCTATATGACTGTCCACTGTTCACTGAACTTAAACACAAAAATACAGTTTTTCCCAGATCTGTGGGACTTCGGGTCTTCATTTCTGAGGGCTCCTATGTAATGTAAAACTTTGATTAAATAAAAGCTTCTCTATGTTAATCTGTTTTTTGTTATATGGGTAATGGCCATGACCTCTGCAATTGGTGAGGAAAAGACATTACTTTTTCTCTCCTCCACTACCTTTCTAGGCTCAGTTCAATTCACCATCTTCTCCATGCAGTCCTTTCCTGCCATGAAGACCCATTCTGACCCCTCACCTCTTTAAAGGCTCATCTTTGTCAGTGCCATACAATTTACCACTTGTTTTGTAATTATTTCTCTGACTCCAGGTCAAGTTAATCAATGTCAGTTACACTTTAGACTTCTCTGTAATAACACAAAGGCAGAATATTTGTCAACTGACAGAAATGCAGTTACAGAGAACTTCATAAAGAATCCAAACCCTTCCACTAAGGTTTAATTTTGCACAACAGGTACAATTTAGGCAACCGAATCTCTAATACTGAGTTTAAAAAAAAAACAACTCAACATTCCAGTTTCTTATCTGAAGCTCTTGGAAGCAATCAGTTTATTTATAAGTAGAAAAAAGGCTTTATATATTAAAAGATAAAAACATAATCAGTTTCCATCGCTTAAAAAAACTTGCTAATTAAAAAAGTTAAAATACCATGTAACATATATGTTCTATATATAGAGAGTTTTCTTTTTTTCTTTTTTTTTTTTTTTTTGAGTCAGTCTCACTTCGCCACCCAGGCTGGATGGAGTACAGTGATGTGATCTCAGCTCACTGCAAGCTCCACCTCCTGGGTTCAAACAATTCTCAGTGTCAGCCTCCAGAGTAGCTGGGATTACAGGTGTGGGCCACCACGCTAATTTTTATATTTTTAGTACAGACAGGGTTTCTCCATAGAGGCCACACTGGTCTCAAACTCCTGACCTCAAGTGATTTGTCCGCCTCAGCCTCTCAAAGTGCTGAGATTACAGGCATGAGGCACCATGCCTGGCCATATAACATAATTAAGAATATAAAATATTCTTTTGGGTTGGGACAGTCTAGAAGTACTATAAGCAAATATTATATTCCAAATCTGTCAGGATCCAAAACCCACACAATTTTGTTTTAATGAGATCTATTATATTACATGCATCACCTCACTTCTGCTTAATAATTATTAACTTATTTTTAATACAACTCACTCATATCAATGATCAGAGTAAAAAGTCTACTTACCCCACCCATTGTAATTCCATGAAGAAGTGCAACATAAGGTTTCTGGCAAGAACCTGAAAGAGAGCTGCAATTTTAGTTTTAGTGTTTAAAATACTTCCCTTTTTCTAAAAAATCACATTATATATACTCTAAAGATTTTCTCTAGGAAATTCTAGCAAGAAACACCAAAGAAAAGTAAATGGCTTATAAAATACATATTTTTAAATGTCAATCCAACACAATCCTGATTATCTATTCATTATCATTTAACAACATAACCTTCCATTTTAAACAAAAGCCAGGGCCCAGTGTGGTGGCTCACACCTGTAATCTCAGCTCTTTGGGAGGCCAAGGTAGAAGGATTGCTTAAGGCCAGCAGTATGAGACCACCCTGGACAATAAAGCAACATCTCATCTCTTAAAAAAAAAAAAAAAAAAAAAAGGCCAGGTGTGGTGGCAGGCATCTGTAGCCCCAGCTGCTCAGGAGGCTGAGGTGGGAAGAATACTTTATCACTTAAGCATAGGTGAGCTGCAGTCATGCCACTGTACTCCAGCCTGGGCAACAGAGCAAGACCCTATCTTTCAAAAATAAAACAAAAAGGATTTCTGCCAAGATGGCCAAATAGGAACAGCTCTAGAGCACAGTTCCCAGCGAGAACAACACAGAAGGCAAGCAATCTCTGCATTGCCAACCAAGGTACCAGGTTCATTTCAATGGGACTGGCTGGACAGTGGGTGTAGCCCAAGTAGGGCAGAACAAGGCAGCACAGGGTGCTGCCCCACCTGGGAAGTGCAACTAGATGGAGAATCAGGGACTCTTCCCCTCTGGTACTCCAGTTCAGATACTGTACTTCTCCCATGCCCTTTGCAACCCACAGGCAAGGAGATCCCAGCAGGACTGAAAAGCACTGCAAGTTACTAGCACAGATCTGAGCGGCAGCTGCGGCCGGCACTGCGGGTCATTGGCACAGATCTGGGCAGACATTTTGACTATGCTGGATGGAACTTCCTGCTCCCAGGAAAAGGGGGAGCTGAAAGCAGGGAGACACGTGATATGGCTTGGTGGGCGCAAGCTAAAGCCCTCTCACTTGAGAGTTTCACAGCTAGTACGTCAATTCAACCTTGACCTGGGATGATCGAGCTCAATGGGGGAAGGGCATCCACCATAGCTGATCTTACCTGTGTAAACAAAAGTCAGAGGAAGCTTACACAGCAGCTGGACTGAGCCTGTGGCAGCCCAGCAGTGCCTCTGCAAGCAGACAAGGGACAGACTGCCTCCTCAAATGATTCCCTGACCCCTGCATAACCAAAAAGATGACACATACAGGAGAGCTCTGGCTGATGACTGGTGGGTACCCTTCTGGGATGAAGCTACCAGAAGAAAGATTAGGCAGCAACACTTGCTGTTCTGCTGCCCCCGGGGGTGATTCCCAGGCCAGAAAGGTCTGGAGTAGACCTCCAGCAGTCCTACAGCAGAGGGGCCTATTAGAAGGAAAACAAAAAGAAATAGCTTCAACATCAACAGAAAGGACGTCCACTCAGAGACCTCATCTGAAAGTCAGCAACTTCAAAGATCAAAGGTAGATAAATCCACGAAGATGGGAAGAAACCAGCACAAAAAGAATGAAATCATCAAAGGCCAGAATGCCTCTCTTCCTCCAAGGAATCACAACTCCTCACCAGCAAGGGAACAAAACAGGATGGAGACTGACTTTGAAGAACTGACAGAAGCAGGCTTCAGAAGGTGGATAATAACAAACTTCTTGAGCTAAAGGAACATGTTCTAATCCAATGCAAAGAAATTAAAAATCTTGAAAAAAGGTTAAACAAAATGCTAACTAGAATAACCAGCAGAGAGAATAACAAACGACTTGATGGAGCTGAGAAACACAGCACGAGAACTTCATGAAGCATACACAAGTTTCAACAGCTGAACTGATCAAGCAGAAGAAAGGATATCAGAGATTGAAGATCAACACAATGAAATAAAACAAGAAGGCAAGATTAGAGAAAAAAGAGTGAAAAGAAATGAACAAAGCCACCAAGAAATATGGGATTATGTGAAAAGATCTAATCTACGCTTGATTGGTATACCTGAATGTGATGGGAGAATGAATCCAAGCTAAAAAAAACACTCTTCAGGATATTATCCAGGAAAAGTTCTCCAGCCTAACAAGGCAGGCCAACATCCAAATGCAAAAAATAGAGACCACCACAAAGATATTCCTCAAGAAGGGCAACCCCAAGTCACATAATCGTCAGATTCACCAGGGTTGAAATGAAGGAAAAAATGCTAAGGGCAGCCAAAGAGAAAGGTCGGGATACCCACAAAGGGAAGCCCATCAGACCCACAGCAGATCTCTCAGCAGAAACCCTACAAACCAGAAGAGAGTGGGGGCCAAAATTCAACATCCTTAAAGAAAAGAACTTTCAACCCAGAATTTCATATTCAGACAAACTAAGATTCACAAGCAAAGGAGAAATCAAATCCTTTAAGAACAAGAAATTGCTGAGAGATTTCTCCACCACCTGACCTGCCTTACAAGAGCTCCTGAAAGAAGCACTAAACATAGAAAAGAACAACCAGTACCAGCCACTACAAAAACATACCAAATGGTAAAGAGCATCGACACAATGAAGAAACTGCATCAACTAATATTAAAGTTGATTAAACTATTTTGACTGAAATAAGCACTCAAAATAGTTTAATCATCTTTATTGATGCCTAGCACATGGTATTAAAAGTTTAAGTAAGAATGTCTATTGAATACATTTTTGACAAAGTATACTGTCCACCTCATTTCTTGATTCCATTTCAAAAGCTCTGAGCAGCACACACATACCAATAGCATTGTTCAGCATATACTCTTCTCTGAAGAAAAGTGGAGCTATCTTCTGGTTTGCCTTTTCAGCTTCTGAGACCACTAGGAAGGAAAGATTACAAATCAAAAAAAATGATTTAATAGCCAGCATTGTCAAGTAGATTAAAAGTACTATGATAATTAAATACTGGGGGAAAGGGAGCACTCTAAAATGACTTGTTAAAATTTTGAAGTTGCCCCTGCCATAGACATATTATAGTAACACATCCGTAGTCCAAAGTCAAAGCTTCAAGGCAAAAATTCCTATTCTCATTTTTCATTGCTTCTTACAAAATGTTAGATTAGAAATTATAGGCTGGGCATGGTGGCTCAAGTCCTGTAATCCCAGCACTTTGAGAAACCAAGTGGGAGGATTCCTTGAGGCCAGGAGTCTGAAACCAACCTGAGCAACATGGTGAGACCCTGTCTCTACAAAAAATTTTTAATTAGCTGGTATGGTGCTCTGTGCCTGTAGTCCCAGCTGCTCAGGAGGCTGAGATGAGAGGATCACTTGAGTCCAGGAAACCGAGGCTACAGTGAGCGATGCATCACACCACTGTACTCTGGCCTGGACAGAGGAGTGAAACTTCTCTTTAAAAAAATAATAATATATTGCAACAAACTGCATTTTCTTTTGATTATTTTCCCTAGCACCTAAATTAACATTTGCTAGACATACATTTCCTTTGGTAATGTATCTTAATACAAAATGTATTATACATGTGTGTATAGTACCACAGTGTGTTGCATGTACTTAAATATTTCTGCCACATTCATTTCCCCCATAAACATTTTTTGAGCATATACTAAGTACCAAGTACTGTTTTAGGTGTTGCAGATAGCGAGACAGCAATATAAGATGGCTGTCCTGGAGTTCAGACTGATAAGAAAGAGACTACTAAAATACATTCTTTGTCCTATAAGGATGGGGTGCAGTGGTAATGGGAGCAGGAAATGTGTAATTACTTCAAAGTAGGCTTCCTATAAGAGGTAACCCTAAGCCAAGTTTGAAAAGGTAGATAAGAATTTCCTAGAAAATAACAGGAAGAAAAATTCTGAGTAGGGGAAGCAGCACCCTACAAAGGCTCAACGTCAAGAAAGAAGAGTAAAATCAAGAATCGAATAGTTTTAAAAGACAAAAGGAAAAAGGTGAGGCTAGAAAGGCAAATAACATACTGACATTTTTATCAATATCAATAGAAATGTAACTTCTCAAAGACATTGCTACAGCATACTACTGCCTGGCTTAGAAAACAAATGCTCAGTAAACATCTACTGAATAGTGAACACTATCAAATGATTTCACTTCTACTGCAATCTTCTATTACCCAGCGTTCACGTCTCCTACCATATTCCTCCTCCAGTCAATTTCAAGACTGCTATCAAAGTTTTCTCTTTTATATACTGCAAGCTGGTATGCCTTTCCTGTCTTTGAGTCCTATGAATATTATCTATTAAAACACAAACTAAACATTTCATAGATATGTTTCCTCTTTTATGGTAAAGTATTACATACAAAATGTTGTCTACACATTTTTACACTAACTCTAGAATTCTCTTTTTTGTTTGCTTTGAGATAGAATCTCGCTCTGTTGCCCAGGCTAGAGCAGAGTGGCACATTCTTGGCTCACTACAACCTCCATCTCCTGGGTTGAAGTTATTCTCCTGCCTCAGCCTCCCATGTAGTTGGGGGTACAGGTATACACCAACACGCCCGGCTAATTTTTGTACTTTTACTAGAGACAGGGTTTCACCACGTTGGCCAGCCTGATCTCCCAACCTCAGATGATCTGCCTGCCTGGGCCTCCTACTCTGGAATTCTGATATCTCTTCCTTCAAAATGTTCCAGGAAAGATGTGACATCTACTTCTGTCATTCTGAGGTTTCACTGATATATACCTAAACAAATAAAAAAAGACTTTGTCTTTGTCTACTGTCCTTTATTCAGATCTTATCACTGCTTACCAATTCTAAAAGGAAAGGAATATAAGTTTTATTGCCTTTGGAATTAAGCTCTTTTATCTCAAAAACCTTCTCAAATTTCCTTCTAATTTTTTCTGATACAATTTTTATTCTAACCAATTAGTTCCATATAAATTAAATGTTCTTCATAATCATTTTTTGAAAATTTTCTGAGTGTCCACTTACTGTCTTGAACTATGATCTTTTAAGAACTAAATTTCCCATACTTGAATCCATTGCTTTATATGTGCAAACTACAATAATTCTAGAATTTGTAACTGTTATTTCCAAATATCAGTATAAAATTAGGTCTATATAAAGAAATAGCTCAGTCAGAAGAAGCTAATAAACTCAATACATAAAGCTCTGCCTATCTGTAAACTGACAAGATCACAGGCCACAAGAAACGCTAATTGAAGGCCGAAAAGCAGTCTTTTAAAAATATGCATGTTGTTGGGAGGCCAAGGCGGGCAGATCACCTGAGGTCAGGAGTTTGAGACCAGCCTGGCCAACATGGTGAAACCCTGTCACTACTAAAAACACAAAAATTAGCTGGGCATGCTGGTGGGCACCTGTATGTAATCCCAGCTACTCGGAAAGCTGAGGCAGGAGAATTGTTTGAACCCGGGAGGCAGTGGTTGCAGTGAGCCAAGATCACACCATCGCACTCTAGCCTGGGCAACAAAATCAAAGCTCTGTCTCAAAAAAAAAAAAAAAAAAAATCCATGTCGTAGGCAAAACAATAGATTCAAAAACAAGTCAGCTAACAGATCAGTTTAAGCAATCAAAAGTTTCCATTAAACTGCAATTTTAAAATTAAGTTAAATTTAATAAGCATTTGAAATTATGTCCTGAATCCAGCTTTTTTCCTATTCCTAATGCAATGGTTTACATAAACATTAGTTTGGTGAACAAGCCCAGATTGTTTTCTTAATACAATACAAACAAACAAATATACAAAATTTAAACACAAGGAAATAAACCATACCTGAACCCTACCAATTCCATAAGAAACAAAATACAAATGTAAAGTTTCAGTATATTGTATATATAATATGGACAATTATAGTGGTTATGATATACACATGGCACGGATCCTGAAAACAAACATTTCTTCTCTCTTAACATTTAAAAATGTGTAGAGACAGACTGACCTGAACAATTATAAAAAATAAGGGGAGCTTCCCTTATTTATTTCAGCATGTTTAAACACATGTAAAAATATATTTACAATGTAACAGGATAAATAAGTTCATAGAAGACACTTGCTTTGCGATCATGAACAGTGGGAAGCATAGAAAAAGTTATGGAAACATGTGAGAGCACGTCATACTTGAGAATGGCAAGCCACTCAACATGGCCAGATTGTCAGGTTTGATGACTAACAGAACTGCTTAATATAAGCTCTTCTAAAATATAAAGTGGACCCACATACCATAATTGGACATTTTGTGATGATTCAGAGAGAGAGACAACATATTTAAATTTCTAAAGGGTATCGGTGTAGTGAGAAAAAAATAATCAGCTATGCTCATTTGCTAATACTAACCACAAAAAGTCTTAAAATTCATTGTTTCTAAGTTAAGAATGTATTAACTTTATAACAAAAAATTCTAAGCGAATTACAAATTATTACAAAAATTTAACAATACTTGATCAGTTCTAGTGGGGCAAAAGAGCATTCAGGTGAAACAAAAAAATTTTTACCTCTGATATCACCCCCAGCACAGAAAGCCTTTCCTCCAGCTCCCTTTATAATAATCAGGAAAGTTTCAGGATCTTGTTCCCACTTCTATTCAAATGTAAAAAAAAGATGGTATAAGCACATTATAAATACAAATTCATTAAAGTTACACGCATATGCACATATATACATACAATCATATATTCATATATGTGTGTGACAGTACATATTCTTCTATAAGATATGCAGAAGAACTAATCTCATCCCATTCTTCATTGAATGAACTTCATTTGCCTTTCTCAGATAAAGTAGAGACTACTTCAAAAAGGCTGCTAGATGAGTACACCGAGTGATCCAAATTTCAAGACAGCACCTGAAATCTCTGCCATAAGTTTGATAGCAAGATGAACAAGTATGGGCTTAATAATAGTAAGTTATATAAACATAAATTTAGAGAAAAAATCAACCCAAGACAGCTGATAAATACAGCAATAACCTTTCTACTGTGCTGATACAGGGCTCTCTGTCCTCCTCACAAATGTATAAGTAACAGAAGGAAACCACTTATGATACTGATTAAAATATGCAACTGATTTTGGTTTGGTAAAGACAGCTAATAAACAGGATGAAAGAATCAAGAGCCAATGAAAATGTGAAAGTCTAGAACAATGGACAAAAAGGAAAATTAGTTAAGAAAACTTAACGGGGGTTCTATCAATCTATAGATCTAAGGTTGAGTATCCCTTACAGGAAATGCTTGGGACCAAAAGTGTTTCAGACTATTTTAGATTTTAGAATATTTGCATACACATTATGAGATATCTTGGGGATTGGACCCGAGTCTCAACACAAAATTCCTTTATGTTTCATATACACCTTATACATATAGCCTGAAGGTAATTAATTTTCCCTTAGGGACGCTGAATAAACATTGTGTTGTGCACTCATGTTTGACTGCGAGTCATCAAGAGGGAGGTGTGGAACTTTCCACTTGTGGAGTCATGTCGATGCTTAAAGAGTTTTTTAATTTTGTAGTGTTCTGAATTAGGATGTTCAACCTCTACTAGAGAATAAATATGTAACACACAAGGAAGATGTAGCTGAACAGATGTGATTGTCCAAAAGGTTCATGCAATATTGGAGTACATTAATTACACTAATAGAGAATTTTTCTAACATGAACATTTCTAATTTCTTCCACTCTGGTCCAACTCTAATTTGCAACAGTTGGCTTATTTCTATGTATCACATGTTTGACATATTATAAAGGTATCTCAAACAGAAACACAAGAATGGAAGACAGATTCATCAAATGAGAACTAAGGAATTGGTAGCCAGGGGAAAACTAGTATTTGTTCAACATCTACATAGCAGAATGTATTAGGTACTTACATAGTCTATTCACTTAATCTTTACATATCATCATCTCCATTTCAGAGTTGAGGAGAGTGAGGTACAGAGCTTAACTTTCCCAGCCTACACAGTTAATAAATAGAAATCCAAGTTTCAAACCAGACAGTCTGACCTTAAGTCCTGTTTTTCTACTATCCCATGCTGTTCACATAGAAAACTTTATGGCCTTCTCTGAGAAAAAGCAGAACAAGCAGTTTAAAAGCAGCTGTCTTCAAATGAAAAGGCCATCATGTGGAAGCAAATTAGATTTGTACTCATGCTCTTGGAGGCAGAGCCAGTATCACTGGTTTAAAGGTCAGAGAAACACAGAGTGCCAGAACACAAAAAGAAACTTGCAAACAAATCAGTGCTACATAAAAGTCAAAGATCTGTCTAAGGAAGCATCGAACTCCCTATCACCAGGGATGCTCAAGAATAACTCCATAGGGGAAGCACTGAAGCCTCAAGAATCAATGGGGCTTAGCTAAACACACATTCCAGGGAAATGTGATTGTATGGGAGAAAATACCAGAAATGTCCTATCATGATATTCTTCTTTAAAAAATCCAAATAATTGCTATAAGAAAACTACAAACCTTTAGCTGTGGATAAATCTGCCGAATCATATTAAGAGTCAATGTATTTAGCACTTTTGGTCTGTTTAGTGTTATGACTCCTGCACAGCCTTTTTTTTCCAATAGTACTTCTGTGGCATCTGTGTGCTTGGACATTCTCTGTATAAACAAAGAATAACTTTATGACAAAATTTCTTAAGTTTTTATCACAAACCAACATCAAAACATACATATCAAATGCAAACCTTACATATTAATGATAACCAAAGGAATGAGTAACTAGGTACTTCTGGCAAGTTTCTAAAGTTATTTAGATTACATAGATAAGCAATTCCAAAGCAAATCATGTAATTCCAAAGCTCAACTTCCGAAACTTGTCTAATGTTTCTAAAGTTATTTAGATTACATAGACGAGCAATTTCAAAGCACACACCTCTTAAATTTTTACATTTTTTATTTCACAACTAATTGAATAAGCTGACTTATCATAGAGCCCAGTCTGGAATTTCTTGGATACTGAAATACTCTTAAATCTTTTAATTTACTACTGTATGTCAAACTCTATGTTACATGCTGATAAAGCAAAGAAGAAAGGGCCAATAATTCTGACTATCGTAGCTATGGTCAACTTGAAAATAAAGGTGATATTTGAGTTGGGGCTTGGTGTATCCCAAGAAAAAGGCGAGGCGAGAATTCCAGGCAGAGGAAACAGCACATGCTAAGCCATAAGCAATGACTATTTGGAAATGTTAAGATGTTAAAACATTTGTGGAACAAAGACTGTGTTGAGGAAATGAGTGATGAGAGGATAGGCAGAATAAGTAGTCTGCAGCCAGATTATGACAGACTTAATAATTGTGAAGAAGTTGCCTGCACACTGACTTAAGGCCTTACACAATATAACTTAACCACCAGGTCTCACTACTCAGGTATTTTGCAGTATTAACTAATAAAACACCTGTGAGGAACAGTTTTAACTATACAGTGGTTTCCCAGGACTCTGCTATATTCAACCATTAGGACTCATGACACCACCATTCTTTTCTAAGTTCTGGGATACATGTGCTGAATGTGCGGGTTTCTTACATAGGTATACATGTACCATGGTGGTTTGCTATACCCATGAACCCATCATCTAGGTTTTAGGCCCCTAATGCATTAGGTATTTGTCCTAATGTTATCCCTCCCCTATTCCCCACCCCCCAACAGGCCCCAATACATGATATTCCCCTCCCTGTGTCCATGCATTTTCACTGTTCAAACTCCCACTTAAACAGAGAGAGCATGCAGTGTTTGGTTTTCTGTTCCTATGTTAGTTTGCTGAGAATGATGGCTTCCAGCTTCATCCATGTCCCTGCAAAGGACATGAACTCAGTCTTTTTTATGGCTGCACAGTATTCCATGGTGTATATGTGCCACATTTTCTTTATCCAGTCTATCCTTGATGGGCATGCGGGTTGGTTCCAAGTCTTTGCTATTGTAAATAGTGTTGCAATAAACATTCATGTGCATGTGTATTTATAGAATGATTTAAAATCCTTTGGGTATATACTCAGTAATGGGATTGCTGGGTCAAATGGCATTTCTGGTTCTAGATCCTTGAGGAATTGCCACACCGTCTTCAACAATAGTTGAACTAATTTATACTCTAACCAACAGTGTAAAAGTGTTCCTATTTCTTCACAGCCTCACCAGCATCTGTTGTTGCTTGATTTTTTAATAATCACCATTCTAACTGGCAAGAGATAGTATCTCACTGAGGTTTTGATTTGCATTTCTCTAATGACCAGTGATAATGAGTTCTTTTTTCATGTTTGCTGGCCACATAAATGTCTTCTTTTGAGAAGTGTCTATTCATATCCTTCTTCCACTTGATTTTTTTTTCTTGTAAATCTGTTTAAGTTCCTTCTAGATTCTGGATATTAGCCCTTTGTCAGAAGGATAGACTGCAAAACTTTTCTCCCATTCTGTAGGTTGCCTGTTCACTCTAATGAGTTTCTTTTGCTGTACAGAAGCTCTTTAGTTTGATTAGATCCCATATGTCAATTTTGGCTTTTGTTGCAATTGCTTTTGGTGTTTTAGTCATGAAGACTTTGCCCATGCCCATGTCCTGAATGGTATTGCCTAGGTTTTCTTCTAGGGTTTTTATGGTTTGGTGTTTTACATTTAAGTCTTTAATCCAACTTGAGGTAATTTTTGTATAAGGTGTAAGAAAGCGGTCCAGTTTCAGTTTTATGCATATGGCTAGCTAGGTTTCCCAGCATCACTTATTAAATAAGGAGTCCTTTCTACATTGTCTGTTTTTGTCAGGTTTGTCAAAGATGGCACCACCATTCTTACTTGTTCCTTTATGTAAAGGCAACACTTAAAACCTCGCATGGGAACAGTGTGCAATGTAAAACTGAAAGGTGAAATTGAAAAATTTTAACTGGAGAAGGCCAATAAAAACTAAACAGCATACTTATTAGCAAAACAATCTAATGAAACCCAGAAATACATATTTTGACTGCATTAAGCAACATGTTCATATATTGTTTAAGTTCTTCTTTATGAAGTCAAGTTGCAAATTTAATATTGAAGTTTTGTTAAAATTATCAAAAATAAAAATCATTTATATTCACTTAAAGTTATAGGAACAGTTATTCAATAACAAAGTTGTGTCTTTTCAATTTCATTTGAATTTCTCACTGAGATTTTCTAATGAGAAATTCAAATCAAAACTTTAGCAATAGTAATATATATTTTGTAATCATATTGACAATAATCAAAAAGGCTGATATACACACACAAGTCTGATACATTCTTATGTTTAGTATAAGTAAACAAATGTACTGTAGAAGGATAAACCATTACAGAGAACCTGAGAAAAACAGTCTGACAACACTTTTTTTTACAGATAGATACACATGGTTTTTATTTTTCTAAAAGCTAGGAAATACTGCCAAGGATTTTTTTAACTTTTATTTTAGGTTCAGCGGTACATGTGCAGGTTATATAAATTCATGTCATGGGGGTTTGTTGTACAGACTGTCATATAAGCCTAGTACCCAATAGTTATTTTTTTCTGATCTTCTCCCTCCTCCCATCCTCCACCCTCAACTAGGCCCCAGTGTCTATTGTTTTCCTCTTTGTGTCCATGTGTTCACATCATTTAGCTCCCACTTACAAGTGCGAACATGTGGCATTTGGTTTTCTGTTCCTGCATTAGTTTGCTAAAGATGATGGCTTCCAGGAACCTCCACATACCTACAAAGAACAGGATCTTGTTCCTTTTTATGGCTGCATAGTATTCCATGGCGTGTGTGTATATCACATTTTCTTTATCCAATCTGCCACTGATGGGCATGTAGGTGATTCCACTGTCTTTGCTATTGTGAATAGCACTGCAGTGAACATACGTGTGCCTGTGCCTTTATGGTGTTATAATTTATATTCATTTAGATATATATCCAGTAATGAAATTGCTGGGCCAAATGATAGCTCTGTTTTTAGCTCTTTGAGGAAATCACCACACTTATTTCCACAATGGTGGAACTAATTTACATTCCCATCAATATTATTTTCTTTACAACCTCACCAACATCTGTTATTTTATTTATTTTTTTTTTTGAGATGAAGTCTTGCTCTGTCACCCAGGATGGAGTGCAGTGGCACAATCTCAGCTCCCTGCAACCTCCACCTCTCAGGATTCAGCAATTCTCCCGCCTTGGCCTCCTGAGCAGCTGGGACTACAGGCACAAGCCCAGCTAATTTTTTTTTGTATTTTTAGTAGAGACATGTTTTACCATATTGGCCAGGCTGGTCTTGAACTCCTGACCTTGTGATCCACCCTCCTTGGCCTTCCAAAGTGCTGGGATTATAGGCGTGAGCCACTGTGCCTGGCTAGTACTAACAAGGCCCAATCCTGCTTAGTTTATGAGATCAGATGAGATCAGGCATGTTCAGGGTGGTATGGCCACAGACTACATGTTACTTTTTTGTTTTTTTTAATAATAGCCAGGAAGCCGAGGCGGGTGGATCACGAGGTCAACAGATCGAGACCATCCTGGTCAACATGGTGAAACCCTGTCTCTACTAAAAATACAAAAAATTAGCTGGGCATGGTGGTGCATGCCTGTAATCCCAGCTACTCAGGAGGCTGAGGAAGGAGAATTGCCTGAACCCAGGAGGCGGAGGTTGCAGTGAGCCGAGATCACGCCATTGCACTCCAGCCTGGGTAACAAGAGCGAAACTCTGTCTCAAAAAATAATAATAATAATAATAATAATAGCCATTCTGACTGGTGTAAGATGGTATCTCATCATGGTTTTGTTTTGTATTTCTCTAACAATCAGTGATACTGAGCTTTTTTTTCATATGTTGGTTAGCTGCATGTGTATTTTCTTCTGAAAAGTGTCTGTTCATGCAATTTGCCCATTTTTTTAATGGAGTTGTTTTTTCTTATAAATTTAAGTTCCTTATAGATGCTGGATATTGGACCTTTGTCAGATGCATAGTTTGCAAACATTTTCTTCCATTCTGTAGGTTGTATGTTTGTTGATAGTTTCTTTTATTGTCCAGAAACTCTTTAATTAGATCTCATTTGTCAATTTTTCTTTTGTTGCATTTGTTTTTGGCATCTTCGTCATAAATCTTTGCCCATTCCCATGTCCAGAATTATACTGCCTAGGCTGTCTTTCAGGGTGTTTACAGCGTTGGGTTTTACATTTAAGTGTTTAATCTATCTTGACATAATTTTTGTATATGGTGTAAGGAAGAGGTTCAATTTCAATTTTCTGCATATGGCTAACAAGTTATCTCAGCACCATTTATTGAATAAGGAATCCTTCTGTCATCACTTCTTTTAGTCAGGTTTGTCAAAGATCAGACACTTGTCTATCTGAATGGCTGTAAATTAGAGTTGGTCAAAAGATTAACCTACATCAGTGTTGGAATTGGAAGTGAAGCGGCGACCATTACTCTATGAAACTGCCAGCAAGTTCCAGCTTGTCCTTCCTCTTTTGTGCTCTGCAACCAGCTTGCCCAGGTCCACCAGCAGACAAAACCTTTACCACTTCACAGTCTCACTCCAGCAGCTGGAAGTGCCTGGCCTCCCAGATTTTCTTGTAAGTTCCTACTGCCCACCTGTAACCAGCAGGTGAGTAGGAAGGAGAGTGAGT